AATCATAGCAACCCTGTATAGGGATTTCAAGGCTCATTTTTCTCCTATGGAGTGTCTGGTGGGCTCAAACCACTGACCTTGTGGTTAGCAGTCAAGTGATTACCCTACAGGGCCACTGTGCTCCCTGCAGGAAGCGTTATTGTTGTTAAGTGCTGTAGAGTTGGTTCTGACTCATAGAGACCTGTATAGGGTTTCCAAAGAGAGACTTGTGAATTTGAACCACCAAACTTGAGGCTCAAACTGACCTTGTGGTCCAGTGCATTATCCCACAGTGCCACATCAGGACTCATAGTGAGGTAACATTTCAAACTGGGTACATTTCTCCATGTAACATGGAAAAGAAGGGAGAATGTATATTGCAAAGCAGCATCCTCCATATTGGCCCACTTCTCCAGCCTCATGATAGATCATTCTTCCTCTGCCTTACTTAAGAAGCTTTAGCACACTGGCTGTTCTGTGTCTTTATTGTCTAACCTCTTTCCTAAGTCAAGGGTTTTGCAAGTAGACTTCTCTGCCTTGAATATAGGAGCTCTGGTGGTGCTGGAGGATAAGCACTGGATGGCTAATTGCAAGGTTGTTGTTAGGTGACATAGAGTCGGTACCAACTCATAGCGACCCTATGTACAACCGAATGAAACACTGCCCGGTCCTGGGAAAACCTCACAATGGTTGCCACACTTAATCCCATTGATGCTTCCACTTTGCCAGTCCATCTTGATGGGGGTCTTCCTGTTTTTCTCTGACCTTCCACCTTACCTTCTCCAGAAACTGCTCCCTCCTGACAATCTGTCCAAAGTATGAAAGACGAAGTTTGGCCATCCTGGCCCCCAAGGAACACTCTGGCTGCACTTCTTCCAAAATGGAGCTATTATTGGTTCTTTTGGCAGCCCATGGTACTTTCAATATTCTCCTACAACACCATAACTCAAAAGCATCAATTCTTCTACGGTCTTCCTTATTCACTGTCCAGCTTTCACATGCATATGAGGTTATTGACAATACCATGGCTTGGGTCAGGCACACCTTAGTCCTCAAGATGACATCTTTGCTCTTCAACACTTTAAAAAAGGTCTTGTGCAGCAGATTTGCCTAATGCAACACATCCTTTGATTTCTTGACTGCTGCTTCCAGGAGCGTTGATAGTTGATCCAAGAAGAATGAAATCCTTGACAACTTCAATCTTTTCTCCGTTGATCAGAATGTTGTTTATTGGTCCAGTGGTGAGGATTTTTGTTTTCTTTATATTGAGATGCAATCCATATTGAAGGCTGTGCTCTTTGATCTTCATCAGTAAGTATTTTAAGTCTTCTTCACTTTCAGAAAGCAAGGTTGTGTCATCTGCATATTGCAGGTTGTTAATGAGTCTTCCTCCAATCCTGATGCCATGTTTTTCTTCAAATTTGCTCAGCATACAGGTTGAACAAATATGGTGAAAGAATATAACCCTGTCACACATCTTTCTTAATTTTAAACCAGTGTTCTCATGTTCTGTTCGAATAACTGCCTCTTGGTCCATGTACAGATTCCTCAAGAGTACAATTAAGTGTTCAGGAATACTCATACTTTGCAATGTTGTGCATAGCTTGTCATGATCCACACAATTGAAAGCCTTTGCGTAGTCAAAAAAGCACAGGTAAACATGTTTCTGGTATTCTCTGCTTTCAGCCAAGATCCATCGGACATCAGCAATGATATCCCTCGTTCCACGGCCTCTTGTGAATCGGCTTGAACCTCTGGAAGTTCTCTGTCAATATATGCTTGCAGCCATTTGGCTGTTACCTTTCAATTCCACCATCTGCTCTGCAAGAGAAAGATGAGGCTTTCTGCTCATAGCAGCCTTGGAAACACTATACAAGGCTGCTATGAGTTGAAATCAATTCTGTGGCAATGGTATCTATCAGCCTGGAATGGTCTTTCCCCAGCTCTTCTGGTGGGTAGCAGCATCATGTCCTTAGGTCTTTGCTCACATGTTACCTCTTCATAGAAAACCTCATATGCATGCAAAACCTGGACAGTGAATAAGGAAGACCATAGAAGAATTTATGCCTTTGAGTTATGGTGTTAGAGAAGAATATTCAAAGTGTCATGGGCTGCCAAAAGAACCAACAGATCTGTTTTGGAAGAAGTACAGCTAGAGTGCTCCTTGGAGGCCACGATGACCAAACTTCATCTCTCATACTTTGGACATATTGTCAGGAGGGACCAGTCACTGTAGAAGGATACCATGTTTGGTAGGGTGGAGGGTCAGAGAAAAAGAGGAAGACCCCCAGTGAGATGGATTGGCCAAGTGGCAGCATCAATAAAACTGTTTTCTGGCTGGCCATGCAGTATGTATGCAGGTGGTCTTACTGGGTTGGACGCTTGAGTTTACAAAATTGAATAAAGAAAATCTCACTCTTGCTAATTGGATTATTTGAGCGGTTGTTGGTATGGACAACGTTTCTCACACAACTTATTTGGAATGTGAGTAAACTGACCTTAAGACCTTGCAGATGGTGTTTCTGTTTGCCCAAGAGCAGGCTGAATGGAGCACATTCACTTAACCACACTTTAGCAGAGCTAACATTGCAAGTCCCTTGAAGGGAGCAAACAGAACTGAACCAACTGTAATTCAGTCCCAGTACCACAGACTTCTGGTGTGGTGCTGTGGGTTAATGCACTGGACTGCAAAGTTGGTTTGAACCACAAGGCTGGGGGTTCAAGCTCACTAGCTGCTCCTTGGAAACCCTATAGAGGGTCGCTATGGGTCAGAACCGACTTGATGGCACTTAACACCAACCACGAAATTAAGGAACTCTGGTAGAGTTGTGGTTATGAGTAGTAGCCCTGCTAACTTCAATGTCAGCAGTTTGAAACTACCAGCTATGCTGTGGGAGAAAGAGGAGACTTTCTGCTCCCGTATAGATTTACAGCCTCAGAAACCCTATGCAGGTCACTATGAGTCGGAGTCGACTCTACAATATATTATCAACCAACCACCCCCACGGAATTGCTGGATTTCTTTGCATAGTCTGGTGTTTTTTAAACTGTATCCGCTCTTGTTGTTAGGCGACATCGAGTTGGTACGGACTCAGAGCGACCTTATGCACAGCAGAACAAAACACTGCCCAATCCTGGGCCAATCTCACTACTGTTGCCACGCTTGAGCCCATTGATGCTGACACTTTGCCAATCCATCTCGCTAGGGGTCTTCCTCTTTTTCTCTGACCCTCCACAATGCTGGAGAAGGATATCATGTATCCGCTCCAGCCTCACCTAAAGGAATGTGTAGCAGGCCAGAGGAACTTCCTATGAGAACTTTGTTGCTTCCTTTCTTTGATCAGATAGTTTGTAAATCACGGTTTTACACCTTGCTCGCTAATCACGAATTTGTCCTACTTTCAGATTTCGGTTGAGGTGCATTATATTCTTGCAGCAGAGCCTGCTTAATCCATTTCCGGTTTAAGTAGATGTTACACGCTGCCAGCAACATTGAGAGTAAAGTTTATCAGATCAAAAGAATCCAGTGAAGGCTTTTACTCTTTAAGAGCGCAAGGATTTAATAGCGATTTGGTACTCTTGAGACCAATGACTTTAAAATGTCTGTATTCTGGCTTTTAAGATGGTCAAAATATTATAGTATTTGCCTAAACAACACTATAGAGCGAATTATACATTTAAAAGTTAAAATTTCACCATTTTTTGTTGTTATGTGCCGTGGAGTCGGTTCCAACTCATAGCAACCCTGTACAGGGTTTCCGAGGCTGTAAATCTTTACGGGAGCAGAATGCCTCATCATAGTAATGAATTTGAAAGATGAATGTCAGATTTCAAATGGCTTTGGGCTACCTGGATTTCCAGGGTTCAGTTTGGCCGCTTGCATTTTTTATTTATGATAATACAGGGTGTGGCCTGTCAGTTCCTGCTTTACAGCTGGTTTTACTCCTCGGGTTTTAAGCACCACACCTAAGGAAGAAGGCTTGGGCATTTTAGCAGTTGCAGTAAACAGTACGGCAGCAAAAGAATACAATCTCAGATTGTTGTGTTGTTGTTAAGTGCCTTCAAGTCGGTTGCGATTCATAGCCGGTCTGTATAGGGTTTCCGAGTAGAGTGGCTGGTGGGTTTGAACCGCCAACTTTCCGGTCCAGTGCATTATCCTGCAGGGCCACACAATCTCAGACACACAGTTACAAATCTCTTTCCTCTTCCCATAATCGCGGAGTATTTGGGTATGACATGGACTCGCGTTATTCTACTACATCAGCTCTCTTTTTCTGCAGAAAAAAAGAAATAGCAACCAATTTCTTTCAAGTCCTCCCTCTCTTTCCCCCTCCCCTCCCACACCATAGTAGTTTACGAGTCCGGCTGCTAACCTCAAAGTCAGCAATTCACAACTGTGGTTCCCTGGAAAAAAGATAAGGCTTTGTGCTCCAGTAAAGATTTACAGCCTCGGAAAAACCATACAGGGTCGCTGTGGTGCTGTAGGTTAATGCGCTAGACTGCAAAGCCGGTTTGAACTACAAAGTTGGTGGTTCAAGCTCACCAGCCGCTCCTTGGAGACCCTATACAGGGTCGCTATGGATCGAAACCGACTCAAGGGCATTTAACAACAATGAGTCGGAACCCACTCAACATTACATAACCACCACCAGTTCCTTGTCTTTCACGTCTTCCTTTCTATGGACCCCTCGGCTATAATTCCTTAGTTGCAGCAGCTACGCCTGCGTCGCCAAGGTAGTAGAAGCAAGGTGCGACGGTGCCGTCCTCAGCCTTTACTTTTCGGCGCAGCCGTAAAGTGTCATCACGCACTAGTGACGTTAAGGGTCAGGGGGTTGCCGCACGTTCTGCCGCTGCACTTGTGTGCGGCGGCTTCATTCAGTGGTTTGATTTTCCGTGTACTGGAAGAGGACTGAACTGTGTTTGTTGCAATTTCTTCTCGGGAACCAGCGGGCGGCTGGGTCCAAGTGCCTGCTAGATGATCGGTGCCTGGGACCGTGGGGCGGACCTAGTGTGCGGCCTACACTTAGCGCTGCCTAGCCCCGCGAATCTGTCCGCGGGGTGCTGATGGCTGGAAGCATCCTGGGAAAATCTTTAGCCACCTTGTCTCTCTCTGTGGCCCTGGCCTCTGTGAGTGTCAGGTCCTTGGGCTGCGGCAGCATCCCAGCATACAGGTATTCCTAGTGCTGGCGTCTCTTCCCAAGGCCTTGGAGTTAGGAGTGAACGCCAGTTTCCTTCCGGGTTTTTTTAGCTTTTGCTTGCTTCTCAGATTTTTATAGCCATAGACACGTTTTGAGAAGGATCCCAAATGCTTGCCCACCGTTTAAAGGACAAAAACTAGTGACAGGGACCTTTCTTAATTTTTGATATTGAAATGTACCTTTATAACCGACCAGCAATAGTTATCCCCAGATAATTTATATAGCACCTGTTTGGGTGTGATGCCCCGCGACATTTTTATTTCTGGTTAATATTTAAAACTTTTAAATTAAAATTTATACATGAACATAGTTAAATTTGAACACTATAAATAATGTGAAATAAAAAGTAAAAGCTGCCATTCCTATTGTCTACCTCTACTTACCAGAGTAGATGGGATGTTTAATTTCTTTTTCTCGACTTGCCAACTATAAATTTTGGAGTCTACAGTTTGCCACACCTTTTTCACTCTCCAGTTTTTATTGAGCCCGTTGTTCAGTAAACATGGTGCCCCAAGATAATATGCTAGGTTTTAGGAGGCTGCCTCTAGGAACAGTTCTTTTTTTTATTCTTGTTTGATCCTTCATGCTTACTTTTGACACACTTAAATTTTCTTCTGTTTCTGTTTTTTTCCACTTGTGCCTGTTCTCTTTTTCTGGGAACTCCCGTTGGCTCTTGGGCCTCAGGATAGAACCCTTGTTTGCCTTTTTCTCATTTGTACATTTTTACCCGTTGGGCCTCAGGATAGAACCCTTGTTTGCCTTTTTCTCATTTTCCATTGGTTTGTACATTTTTACCCGTTCTTAGAGATTTTCCTCTACTTTGTTTCCAGATACTATTCAGATTTTGGTGTGGCGCTTTAGGTTAAGCACTGGACTGCAAACCAAAAGGTTCTTGGTTCAAACCTACCAGTAGCTCCTAGGAGAACCCTATACAGGGTCACTATGGGTCGGAACTGACTTGACTGGCACTTAACAATAACCAAATATTCAGATTTCAGCCCTGTGCATTCTGTTAGTTTTACTCATTGAATTAAAAAGTTTGGCAATAACTTTTTTTTCTCAGATTGTTTTTTTTTAAACAGTCTTTCCGTATAGGAGGATATGCCAAAAAATACTGCTTTAAAATAAAAAAATCTTTACTAAACAAAAATAACAAAATCTGAAGCTATTACTTCTTGACATATCTTCCACCTAGGTGTATACACTGCTGAGGTGATGTTGTCATCTCTCCTCAAAGAATTCTGTGCTCTTTGACTTTGTTGTTGTTGTTGTTAAGTGCTGTCGAGTCGGCTTCGACCCATAGCGACCCTGAATAGGGTTTCTGAGGCTGTAAATCTTTACGGGAGCAGAAAGCCTCATCTTTCTCCCGCGGAACAGCTGGTAGTTTCGAACTGCTGACCTTCCGGTTCACAGCACGATTCGTAACCACTACGCTATTTGACTTACACCTGTCAAAATGAAGGTTTCAGTATTCTTGAAGGACTGAAATCGTGTTGAATTTCGATGTTCTTTGAATTCTGGGGGCAGGATCAGTGCCAAGGATTGTCATTGCTGCCGTTGAATAATGAGTAGACACTTGCTGTGAGAGAAAAAGAGTCTTCAGTGTAACTTTCCTGGTGTTTTTCTCAACAAATCAAATTTTCTTATAACTTATTCAGAGTAAGCCTTCATAATTGTCCTGTGCCGACTGAGAAAAATCTACCAGGATGCTCCTTTTGGATTTTCATTATCCCACAGTGCCACACCAGGACTCCTCCCCACCCCCCCAAAAAAAACAAAAAACAAAAGTAGAGCTAGTGTAACAGACTTGTTAACAACTAAGGTATTAGCCACTTTGGGGAAAGATGAGGCTTTCTGCTCCCATAAAGATTTACAGTCTTAAAAACCTTATACAAAGTAGCTGTGGTGATGGGTTTTTGTTGTTATGTGCCATCAAGCCAGTTCCGACTTATAGTGACCCTGTAAAAGGGTCTCCAAGGAGGAGCTGGTTGAGTTTGAACCACCAGCCTTGCAATGAGCAGTTCAGTGCTTATCCTACAGTACCGTACCAGGATTATGAACTCTTAATGAAGGAGCTCGGTGGCACAGTTGTTAAAGCTCTTGGCTGTGAACCCACCAGTGGCTCTGTGGGAGACAAACGTGGCAGTCTGTTTCCATAAAGATTTACAGCCTTGGAAACCCTATGGTACAGTTCTACTCTATCTTACAGCATAATTCTGAGTCAGAATGGACTTGGTAGAAGTGGGTAGGACCAAAACAACTCTAACAACTTCAATTATTTTCCATTGGTCTTTATGTTAGAGTAGTTAGAACAGATTTGTGGAATAGTAATAATGATTCTTATTATTATTGCTAATCAGTAACAAAGAACTTGAAGTTATTTAAAACATTATTTTGGGATACCTGGTTGAGATAGAGTAGAACTAGATTGATTTTTTCCGCTTGGTCATATAATATCCTTGAGTTTTTTCTTTCTTGACTCAAGTCTTGAAACATAACTCTCATTTTGTAGTGGAATTCAGTCTGAGACTAGGACTCCATATGTGTTTTCTTTCTTTTTGTACAATATCATATTTTATCATTAAAGTTATGCAAATCATAATTATAGGGCGCATTCCACCTTTTCCTGTGACTGAACTAGTCTGTTAACTAATGTTGGAATCTTCTGTTCTATGAAAGGTGAAACCCAGTTGAAATGTTATATAATTTATATAGCTGGTGTTATAGACTTCAATTATATAAGGATATCACTACCCTTTTCCAAACTTTTATATCACTTTAAGTTTTCTACTTTAGGGGCAGTTTTAGTAACTTGGGTCATTTATATTTTGCTAGAAAATTATCTCATTTAAATCTTCAAATTTGTTATTATAGAGTTACATTTGTTGTCTTTTGTTACTTTGTTAATTCACTTGTGTCACTTAATTCAGTTTAGTCTTTTTGAAACTTACTTTTTAAACTTTGTTAATTTGGGTCTTGAATAGCATTTTCTTTTAGTGCTAGATTAGCCTTAGTGAGGTTGGCCCAGGATCGGACAGTGTTTCATTTTATTGTGCATAGGTTCGCTATGAGTCAGTACCAACTCGATGGCACCTATCAACAACAACAACAACAACAGCGTAGCCTTGCACCTAAAATGTAGGCTTTCTGGTGTTGCTGCTGAATGCCTGGGTTGGTTAATCCTTTTGTCTAGTTTGGTTAGTCCAAAATCTATATGTCCCACCATAGTGTAAGCTTCAATAATGTATTTAACTCTATGGCTACCCTGAAAGCTGCTGGTAAATTGTTCTTTGTCAAGTAATGGTTTTTTTAAAATTTTTTTACTCCATGGTTGTTTTTTGCTAAGCCTGTTAAAATTTGGTCTTATGTGTCTGCATAATAGTAGTTGACCAAAACCTCAAAAATTCTGAAAACCAAATTTATGTAGTCCATTTTCTTTACAGTTCCCTTCTCCTTGGTGCACACAAATTGCATTTTGTTTCAGTAGTCCTAAACTCTGATCTCTGACTCCTCATGTAACAAGATTGCTGTTTCTTTGTGCTGCCTTTTCCTTGCCAGTTTCTAGAAGATGCCTTTAGAAAAACAGATAGTCATGAACTCTTCTCATTTGTTTGGTTCTCTCAGGGTTGATGCAGTCCTATGTTTTCCAACATCTGAAAATATATTTTATATATACTGTTCAGTTTTATAGTTGTTCATGGGGATGGACTAGTCTGATACTAGTTACTCTGTCATGCCCAGAAATGGAAGCCAGTGTTTTTAAAAAATGTATTTCTTTCATGTAGACTTAATAGTTTTCTTTTATATTTGAACTGTATTTTATATTTCAACTATAATGTTGAATCCCATAACAAAATTCCATAACAAGCTTTTTCACCCTAACTGATGATACAGAAGTAAAGGTCTGTCCCTTTTTCTTAACTTAAAATAAATTCAGTGAGTAGCTTCCAATGAGTGAGATTGAAGTATATTTAGAAAATTTTTATGTTTGAAAATAATTCCTCACAGATTTTGGATCATTATATAAATATGCATGAAATTTGAATTTTCTGATTTTTAAGAATCTTTGAAATTGGAAATTATGTTTTTGATCCTTGAACTAAGTAGTTTAGTGGGTTTTTTTTTTCCCGTGTTTGTATTTATGTAAAACATGTTTCTGCTGTTATCCCTAGGAACTCATTTTTATCCTGTTGGTTTCATTTTAATTCTGTCATCATGTCTAATTCTAATGATGCCAAAGAGAATTCCCACAACAAGGCTCGGACATCTCCTTACCCAGGTTCAAAAGTTGAACGAAGCCAGGTTCCTAATGAGAAAGTAGCCTGGCTGGTTGAGTGGCAAGAGTATAACCCTGTGGAGTATACCGCAGTCTCCGTCTTGGCTGGACCCAGCTGGGCAGATCCTCAGATCAGGTGAGCAAATCAGATCAGGTGGGCATTAGCTGTATGGAAGACTTACAGAGAAGGTAGTACTTGTATTTGTAAGTTACTGTTTTAACAACTAAAAAATCATTTTTATATGCTGCTTAGATTTGTTCTAACTTCGCTTTCACATTTGCTTAAATTCTTGGGGGTTCTATGGTGATCCTTCTAAATAGGTAAATACTTTTTACTATAGAGTTTTTTGTTTTATGAAATAATAGTTTGTTTTTGTTGTTGTTAAGTGCCATCAAGTTGGTTCCAACCCATAGCAACCCTGTATAGGGTTTCTGAGGAGCGTCTGGTGAGCTTGAATTGCTGACCCTGCAGTTCAAATGACTTTGCAGTCCAGAGCCTGAATCCACAGTGCCACGTTTTTATTTATTCTTTTTGAATTCTCAATAGAACGTCTTTCATGATTATTTTCCAACAAAGCTAGACTTTTT